GAGTAAGAAAAGAGAGTATAACAGAGAGAGAGAGAGAGAGAGAGAGAGAGAGAGAGCAAAATATTCATGAGAGAAAAAGAGAGAATTAGGGAACGAAACTGGAGAATAAATGAATAAAGGGAAATGAAATTGAGAATAGGGGAGGTATTGGAAGTCCATGGCAAAAAGGACAGTGGAGGAAATGTCCAGATAAATATTTTTCTAAACGAAAGATAAATGAGAAAAAGAAAGAAATTTGATTTGATGTTGGCAACATCACCTCTTTGCAAAAAAAAAAAAAAAAAAAAAAGTTAATTGCGTCAAAAAATGAAATACTGGATGGGAAGAAAATGAGAAGTTATTATTTTGAAATATAGAAGAAAAGGTAAAGAGCGAGATAAAAAAAAAAAAAAGAAAAGGGAAATAAAGAGAGTAGAAGATTTTTAAAATTTGACCAGAAGTAAATTGATAAAGAGTGAGAGTAATTTGCGTAAACGGCGAAATTTGCATAAACGGTGAAGTGCATTTAAAGAAAAGAAATAAAATCTCATTGAATAAAATACGGAAAACAACTGAAAGGAAAGGCAAAGAAAAAGAAAGACAGAAAGGAGGACATTTGCGACAAGATCAGAAACTAAGAAAGAAAGAAAGAAAGAAATGTATGGAAATGGTGGCAAAAGATGACAGAAAGAAACAAATTATACATCAGTGGTGGGATAAGAAAACTATTAGTTGTTAGAAAAGAATATGAAGCGTACGAAAGGCGGCGGGGGGGAGATAGAGAGAGAAAAAAAAAAGAAGAGAAGGGGAGAAGAAAAAGACAAAGAAATAAACAAATTCGGTAGACAGAACATAGAAGGAAAATGGACTAAAATATAACAATGAACAAAGAAAAGAGAACGAAAAGAAATTATTAGATTGTGGGAGAGTAAGAGAGAATTAAAAAAAGGGAAAAAATAACAAAGAGGCACGAGAGAGAGAGAGAGAGAGAGAGAGAATGTGTGTGTGTGGAAATGAAAAAAATCACGTGGACAAGAATAAGGGAACACATCTGTTGTCAATCCGAGAGAAGAAAAAGAAAATTATTAAAATACACTCGATTTGAGAAAAAAAGAAGAAGAAAACGTTACAAAGAAAGGGCATAATAAACGTAGAAAAGGGAAGCCATATGAAAAAAAAAAAAACCTGCAAAATATATATTGAAGAAAAAAAGTAACCTTGTCAATTATGGACGCTCGGTAAGCAGGTTTTAGTGTCGATGTTTGCATCAACGAAACTGCAACAGGCGTCAGGACCAACAGGTGCAATCAGATTCAGTTCAGTCGTGTGCACACATGGCCAACTCTGAATCAATAAGTGCTCGACGATTGTCAAAATCAGTTTTGGCATCTTATTTAACACAGAAATGACATTCAACATCAGCACCCGCTCCAAAATATAAAACCCAAATACCATTAAAAAATAGATTGGTTTTATAATAAATGCTCTTGTCAGCGTTTCTTTGTGGTTGACGTCAATGTATTGTTGCCTTTAACAGGATATCCGCTTAGAAGAAGATAAAGTAACACATGGTATCCAATGTATATCTATAACCTTTTGTGAAAATATGTAAAAAAAACGTAAAAAAGTAATTATAGAGCTGTTCACTGGAATTCATCAGAAAACTCTATTTTTCTTCTTCTATGTGCCTTGTCCTTTCAAGACGTTTTTGCAATTATGGCTCTCCACAATTTTCTGTCCTTTATAGCACTTAATTTATTTTTCTCCTAAACTTTGTTTCGCCATCCATTTATTCAAGCTCGCTAGGTAGGTTTTCCTCTGTCTCTTTTGCTTTCAATCTATCCTGTGAGTATCAAATTTTCCAAGCTTGATTTTCTAATTATACGTCCTGGAAATTTCAACTGTCTATTCCTTATAAGTATCGTTTTTGTTAACATTTTCTCTAAAACTTCGTCGTTGCTCTCATGTTCGGGTCATGGCATTCTCACCATGCTTCTGTAGAGTCACATTTCTGTTGGCTAAAGTCTCTTTTTCATCTGTGAAGAGATTGTCCAGCATTCACTGCTATATAGGAGGACTGATATTACGTAACAGTTCTGTACTCTTTTCGTTGTTTCTAACAAGGTTTTCTTGTATTTTAATACTTTGCTTAGATTTTAGACGACATCTTCTTTTTCCCAATGCGTCTTCGCATTTCAGTGTCACACTTTCTGTTCTCTCTTAAAACTCTTCGACAGATTGTTGTGCTTGTTTTATTTTGGTATCTCCAATTTGTAATTCGCATTTTGGTATGGATATCCAAATGAGGACTAGAATAACAATTGTTCGGGATTAGACCACCTAAAAATTCAATCAAACTGATCCAACCTTTCTAATATGTGAATCAACGCTTTAAAATCAGTTAAAAGATAAAGATGATCTTTATTTTTAAGCAAATAGAAGAGAGAAAAGTTCTCTTACTGCTATAATTTCTGTATAAACAACATTTTCAGCAAGACATCTATTTTCTAAAGTTTCTATGGTCCTTTTACTTATTCCACTTGAATTTCCTACTCTAGACATAGCTCCATAGAGTTGAACATAGGAACATTTGAATAATTTTCTAATATTTATATTAATAATAATAATAATAATAAATTAATTGAACGAACTTACTATTCTTCACTTGTTAAAATAATGTGGTGCAGTTGTAAGAAAAGCCAATGCATAGATCATTATAAAGTATTTCCGTAAAATATTTTACGGCTCCATTCGACTAATTTGTAGTAATGGAAAATAGCAGGCAATAACAATACTTATTATGAACGCTAAAGGAATTCTAACTTACGATTGAATTTTGACAGAGCAAGCATAATATACGACAAAGTAATTAATAAAAAAAAGTCCCTTGATGGTCACATGTCCAGTCTTTGGTATCCATACGACACAGCATCCATCTGTAGAAACACATTTCTGTCACTTCAAGTCTCTTCTTCGTCTGTAAGGTAACTGTCTAGTATTCACTGTTATATAGGGTGTCAAAGTAGTTCAGCGCTCTTTTCTTTATTTCTAAAGAATTTTTCTATGTCGTATTTGTTTAGTTTCTGGAAAACATACTTTCGCTATTCCAATGCGCCTTCGGATTAGAATGATTGCAATTATATTAGAAAAATTGTTAAAAACTTTATTTTTTATTCAGTGATATCTTTTTCATTGATTTAGGTAAAAATGGCAGCGGTAAAATGGCAACGGAAAAAATGGCAGGGTAAAAATGGCAACGGTAAAAATGGCAAAAATGGATAAATAAGAAAAAATGGCAAAAGGAAAAAAATATAAATGAATATCTCACAATGAGTTTATTAAAATCTTGGATACAATACATAATGAAAAAACATGAGAAGTTTGTCAAATTAAAATGAATATTCAGCTAAAAGCTCCTCCCTCCCATGAGATTTTACTTTTTAAGCGATTACATCTGAACACACTGAAAAACTTGGGAAAAAACAATTATAGGTCCACTTGATGACGGCTTCCAGTATTGAAATCAGAAACCGACATTAAGCGGTGTTTATTGCAAAACAGTTCCTCGTCAGTTTTGTACACTTAGAGTTGTTTTTTTTTAATTTCACTAGTTTAAACACGTGGGAATCAGTAATGCAGTCGAATAAAAAAAACAATATACTGGATACATTATTATTATGACGTTTAATATATTTCAATTTTGTTACATTTCTATTTATAAAAAAAAACTATTAGACTATTTAAAAAAATAGAATAAAATATTTAAAAATGTTTTCAATATAAACTATTTAAAAAGTATTTTCACACAAAAAGAAGATTCCAATTATAAAAAAAATTAACTATTTTAAAAAATATTTTCAAAGAAAACATTCCTACTATAAGAAAGTTTTATTTGATTATTTGTAAGAAGAAAACATTCCAATTAAAAAAAGAAAACGTTTTATTTGAATGTGATTCCTAACCTTCGCCTTTGCGAGTTTCCGATTCCCCGATTCCGATTAATCGTCACAACACTAATATATATATATATATATATATATATAATTATACATTAATACACTTATGTTCTATATATATATATATATATATATATATATATATATATATGTATATCTACACACTAATATACACTATATATATATATATATACACACTAATACACTTATTATATATATATATTTACACACTAATACATTTATTTTCTATATATATATATACACTAATACACTTATTTTGTATATATGTATATATGTATATATATAAACACTAATACACTTGTTTTATATATATATTTATATATATATATATACATACATACATACATATATATATATAAACACTAATACACTTGTTTTTATTATATATATATATATATATATATATATATATAAACACTAATACACTAGTTTTTTATATATATATATATATATAAACACTAATACACTTGTTTTATATATATATATATATATATATATATATATATATATATATATATATATATATATATATATATATATTTATATATATATATATATATATATATATATATATATATATATATATACACACATCTAATCCTGATGTCAACTATCAATTATAAAATTAATTATAGTCATCAAATTCACATAAACATGTTACGATTTGTGCTTTTACTGCAATTGTGAGTAGGAACCTAGCCCCCCCCAATAATACTTCTAAAAATCGACATCGAAAATTAAAAAAAATTTTTTTTAATACTAGGAGCGGGAACTTAGGCCCTATTTAAAACAAGAGGAGAAGGAGCCTAGCCCCCACTCCCACTAGAGTAAATATCCATTTAAAAATATTTATTTTAAAATATTGAGGGGTAGGGACCTAGCCCTATTTTAAACTAGAGCGATGGGAGCTTAGACCCATCCTTCTCGAACGGTCATAATTTTCTGTTGTCAAATTACCATTTTTTCCTACTTATCCACTTTTGCCATTTTTTCCTATTTATCCACTTTTGCCATTTCTACCGTTGCCATTTTTACCCTGCCATTTTTTCCGCTGCCATTTTTACCGCTGCCACTTTTACCGAGCACCCTTTTTCATATGTCAACGTTAATCTGTGCATATTTTATTAAGAATGCACTAGAAAATAATGGAAGAATTTTAAATAAAAGGGGAAATTAAAAATCCATAAAAAATAGAGGAGATATTTGTTTCGATTGCAATATAACTATACTTACTTGTGTTTATTTGTGAGTGTGTGTGTGTGTATGTGTGTGTTATAGTTAGTGTTAGTACATATATTCACTGCTGTCAATTTGCGTGTGTATGTTTACCCAAGTGATCACATCTCTTTGCAGTCACGTATCTTATCGCAAAAGAACCAATCATTCAAAATGTGTACGTTCCTCTGTGTGAGTGAATGCGTATGTGTGTGTGAGTGTGTATGTGTAATTATGTGTATATGTGCGTGTGTCTGTCTGTGTATGTGTGTGTTTGTGTATGTGTGCCTTGACTGGTCACTTTACAAAGGGTCATTTGTGTTTGAACCTCCACTAACAGTTCACAGATGGTCAAAACTGGAATGGAACGTGCAGCTTGTACACACATTAAGCATCATCCTTTTTTAGTTTTTTTTTACCGCCTTTTGATGTAGTAATGAAACAAAAATACAGGCGATGGTCTATCAACATTCAATCCATCAAATGAGCATTCAACACAACATTAACCATTTTTTTTTATCTATTTCACTCGAAAGCTACTTAGGTATGTAGATAATTTAGACCAGTATGTCTGAGTTAATAAGCGTCCTCATGTATTTATATAAACATATATTTATTACTTCAAACGTTATTATACTGGATTCTCGCAGCTGAAATAGACACACTATTTTTATTTCAAATACGAGTGTCTGCTATAATAACGTTTGAAGTAATAAAAATGTTACATTAAAAATAAAACCATTAATTATTTAGAAAATGTACATATACAGGGTATGATGGGTAAATTGTGCCATTTTATATTTTTAATTCCGCGCATGCGCGTTATTTGTTATTGATTTTGTCGACTGCACCATACAGTAGAGTCAGTTGAGCGCTGTCAGAAATTTGAAACAGCATGCTGTACTGCTTGGCATTCGCACCGTAAGCTCTAATACGACCATTTCAGAGTGT